TGTTTAGATGTTTGAAATGGCCAACATTTTGGGTTGAAAGGGAAGCCAGAGATTAACGAAATGTCAATGGAATCAAATTATGCACCTTTAGACCTGAATCGAGTGTTCATCAAACTCGAGTTGTGAAAGCCAACTTAATTAATTTTTTCATTTCAATTTTTTCTTTTCAAATTTTCCTTTTCCTGCAAATGAAACAAACTTTCAAATGTTCAGTTGCTTTTAATTAAACTCATCAAATGTTTTGCAACGATTCAATCAACAAGATTGAAAAGATTGAAAAATTTGAAAAGGTTTTTCTGGTTTCATCGATAAGATTAATAGCCTGGAAATGAGAAATGTTTTGTTGAAATGACTTGAGTTGCTTTTGCATTTGGATTTTAAAGAAATGAATTGAATTTGGAACTTGGGAATTTCCAGAACTATATTGTCTCTGTTCAATCAATTGAGTAAACCAGATGATATTTAATCTGATCAAATTTTCTGTTCTCTTTATGATTGCAGAGAAAGGCAACGATTCAGCATTACTTTCGTCTGTTTTCATTGTATGCTGATTCGTTGAGCTCATTTTTGTTCCATATTACAATTCAGTTATCATGATAATCTTGAACAATAATATTATTCAACCTTTTTTGTTCACCTAAAAAAATATTGAACACAAGATTACATAATGTTAGCAAAGGTTTGGATATAAGCACATTATCGCTAGCCTTTTGCCTTTTCACTCCCTTTGCATCAGTCTAATGATACTTTTAATAATAATGTTAATGATAACATTAGATATAATCAGGGCAACAAAACCGAGTCAAATGTAACGAGAGAGAGAAAAAAAAGTTTTGCCTTTTCATAGGAAAAAAAGTATAATATCATTATAAATGGTAATATATCATATCAACTATCACAGGGAATGAGGTTCAAGATAACAGAGTTAAATGCTTACAATGAGTATTGAATACCATCTTATATTGTCAACATTCAGCTTACTCTAGTCTAATGCGTTCCAATTATTCAGTTTGGTTCAACTTTTGTGAAAATCAGTTGGAATGAAGAAAAAGAAAATTCTCCAATTTTTCCATGTTTTTTCAAATTCCATCTTTTACTCATTCAATTGTGGAGAATCAAATTATCCAACCTTTTATAAATATTATCATTGATTGAAAGGTTAGACATTTTCGAGTCTGAAGAAAGAAAGAATTTAATTTTTTCTCTTGATAATTTTCCAATTAAAATTCATCCAACCTTTTCATTTCCCAATATCCAGGTATTCATGTAAACAGATTAAATCTCTAGTTGAGTTTAACATTCATCTTAACCTTTTCATTTCTTTAACCTTTTTATTGAAGCTGCTTTTGTTGCCTTTGGTTGAGGAAAATTGGGTCAAAATTGGTTCACATTTTGACCGAAGCTCATTCAAGTCTGAACCAGAATGGGTTGAGAGGGAAAAAAAAGGTTTACTCAATGATCAAGTTAAATGGATTCAACTAATGAAAGAATCGAAAGGAATAAGAAGAATGATGAAACAATGATAATCAGGTTGAGGGGAGTAAAGAAGTAAAAATAGTTGAATCCAATTCTGTGCTTGAAACAATATAAATGACTTTTGGTTCAACGATTTATCCTTCAAATCACCAATCAACTTTTGCTTCTCTTTCATTCACTTCTCACAATAAAAAAAGTATAATAATATTAGTGATTATTCAACTCCCTTGATACAAAACTTATTGATACAAATTTTGGTGCAATGTCAAGATGAATAAAAGGCAAAAGTCAAACCAAGAGTAAAGTCAATTGTTGAATCACCCGAAATTCAAAGGTGAAACATTTGTGAAAACATTTTCGTTCATTTATTAGTTAACTTGATAAGTCGATGTTGGGAGTGAAAAATCCCAGTCAAGTGTTTGATAACAGAAACAATGTAAATAATAAGTCAATTTCAGGCTTCTTGGAATGCATCTGATTGAATTATGTTTCCTCGTGACATGATTGTGATAACACATGAAATTCATGATTACTTTGTATCAATTGGTAATATTCATAATCAAATTTTGACAAATGATTCAAATGTGAATATCATTGATCCCAGATTTCCATGCAATCTTTTTTCCAGCATCAAATTCGTGTTTCTTCATATTGATGACTTTAATGGACAACTTGACTGAAATTTTTCCTCATTTAAAGTGAAATTCTGGAGCCATTTTTCATTCTCTGATAATTTTGTTATAAAAATTGTTCTACTTTTCAACTTCTGTCATTTCTTTCAAACTCGATTTCCATCAGTTTTTTTTCTCATGAAAAGTAAATTTCAATTAATCATTAAAATTTTGTTACAACTTTTAGATTTTTCATGCTTTTCTCTTTTCTTTCAAAATGTTATCCCGATTCAGTGCAACATGAACATTAATTTTCGTCAACACAATCGATTTATCATCATTCCTTTGCTTTCCAATAAAATACATTACAAAGGATGACATGAGAAACATCATTAAGAATCAATTCCAATGGACAGAATTATAGACAGAATGTTCAATCGTTATCAAGTAATTCGATAATCTTTCGAATTGAAAGGTCAGAGATAAAAGTGGAAACAATTGAAGAAAAACTCATTGGAAAAACTCTTTTCCTGCATTCCATTCCATTTGTTATTTGATATTATCGCATTATATTTCGCTTTTATATTTATTCAAATTTTTGCATTTTTCAAATGAAAATTTTGCATTTGCTTCAATTTGCAAAATATTTTGCAAAAGGAAACGAAAAAATGATAACAAAAAGAGTCAACAGAAAAAAAAGAAACTCCATTATTTTAGTTGAATCAACTTCCATTCTTGACCATGTAAATGGAATTGCAATTTTTTCAGACTTTTTGCTCCAATGAGTTTTTCGTTTCTTTTGTTGTTTTGCTGGAAACCAGAATTTGATATTTTTATGCAGCAAAATGTGAACAGATCAAAATAATTTTCACGGTTATTTAACTAAATTTGATTAGTTGAAGATTTGTCGATGATTATCATGAAGATGATCAGTGAACTAATAAATTAAAGATTAGGAAGAATGGAACAATCAGTTGATTTCTGCAAATAACCAGATTCTTGGGTTGATTCACAATTTTCTTTTCATTCCTTTTTTTCCTTCAATATTGAGTTTTGTCACACATTTGGATTCTTTGCCATCTTACGAATGCTCGAGCAAGAAAATTTGTTGAAACAAAAGTTCATGAGAATTCCATGGTTGATTTCATTATGATGATGAGAGCATGAATAAGATTCGCGAATTGAAAGATTGATACAACGCAAAAGCACATTAAAACTATTGATCTGTTTTTTTGGCTGGATTCCTCTGGTGAGCTTGGAATGTTCACAAGGAAGGAAAACTTTTCCCTGAAAAGATTCTGCTTCCTGGATGAAGGCAAGATGATGTTGGGAATGTAAAGATGAAACTGAATGGAAGAGAGAGAAAGAAAAAAAAGAGAATGAAATATTGAAGGGAAGGAAAAAAAGTCGATAAAGGTGAGAAGAAAGATAATGTGAAAAGTTATCTTGAAATAGTAAATAAAGTTGAACGGGAATAAAGACGCCAAAGTTGAGTCAATATTTGCTTTAAACTTGAAACGTTTCGATATTTTGTCATTTCAAATATTTAAAGTTTCATTTCTAAGAGTTTTTCCATTGTTGTATTTGATGATAATTTTACGAAATATTTAATATTTTCCAGTTTCTTTCTGTTTGCTTGATAAATTGGGTTTGGGTGAAAAGGAAGGCTTTTGAGTTCAACTTTTGCTTTGACATTTTTCATTTTCTGTTGCCTGCCTATTGCAACAATTTTGGAATAATCAAATTTTTCATGATTAAATGGGCAATTATAAATTCATCTATTGTACTTGGACTGTTTGAAGTAATTAGAGGGAAAAGGCGTTGATCAATGACATGAACAGCAGCATCTTTAACCAGCCTTGATCTTTCAACAAGCTTTTGTTATGCAATGTGATTTGTTGGCTTGTTAATTTGCAGGTTTCATTGTAACTCCATTTTTGAATGATGCTTTGTCGACTTAATTATTACATTGTCATGTTATCAAGTCAAGATGTTCATTTATCATTATGGTTTATCGATGTTGTTGGTGGATGCAAGGCCTTAACCCAGTTAACCCAGTTTTCTTGAAAAGAAGCTTAGGATTGAAAATATAAATTTGACCCAGTATGGACAATAAGACGTTAATTCTGGTAATGTTTGTAATCAACATTTTCAAATTTAATTTCTTCTGGCAAGTTGTCTGATATCAGTTGGAAATGAGTCGTTCCTCGGTTAACAATCAGCTTAACTTGTTTCAACCCTACATTGAACCTCATCCATATTCAGCTAAAGTTAGGTATTCGTGTAAATTAACAAAGTTATCATTGATAAATCGTTCACTTCGTTCGTGGATTGAATACTATCTGGAAAAGTCATCTTTACAGTCATCACAGCCATCACTGTCCAAAGGAATAAAAAAAGTATCGCCAAACTGTAAGCCTTTCCCTTCACCATCCAACTCATCATCTGTATCAACACTGCAATCTCTTCGTCCAATACTGATTTCCATGTCTCTGGTTGGTCTTGATTTCATACCAAATCACTCAAGCCAACGCTCAGTGATATTTTTCTCTCGTCGAACCCAGCTTTATTGGAATTATTTCATTCTAACTTTGGTGGTATTATCCTTTGGACACAATGTTGGCTGTCAAACGTTCCTTTTATTTCATGGAGCTCCCAATGATGCATTGTATAGCTTTTTTTCTTGTACCAAATTGTTCTGCTCTCTTCTGGTTTTGATCCTATTTTATGCACGCAAAAAACCAATCAGCCAACTCTTAATTGATATTGATGAATATTTCCAAATTGTACCTCATTCAACCTCGTCAAGACCCCATTTTTGTAGCCAACTCCGACGCAAGGTGTTGATTGATGTAACCCTTGGCTGGTGTCTGATGATATTATTTATCTACACCAACTTCGCTTCTAATGTGAGTGAAGAAGATATGAGAAAGTATCTCCATGATTTTTGGTTTGGTTTGCATGTAGAGACTATTGGGACAACTTGTGCTCTACTGATTACTCTGGTTGAAACGACGGTATATTTTCTTGCCACGGTTGCTCCAATGCAATTTTTTGCCATCTATTACATTTTACTTTGTCACTTTATGAGGATACTGTTTCACATGTTCAACGAATGGGCTCATCTTCATGCTGCAAAAATTGTTGAAACTGAACAGGATGTTACTATGCTAGGAAGCGGGGTTGCTGGCCATCATGGACGATCGTCAAGTCAAGTTCGTCAATTTCGCTTGATCCACAATCGATTGACTAAAATGGTTTATCGGATGGACCATCATTTATCATTATTAACACTTCTTGTCTATATAATCATAATGTCTGATTTGTCCAAATACGTTTACTATTTGATTGAAAGGTTAACCAAAAAATGGGAAGACTTGTTCGAGGTAATGTTTGTCGGTTTTCGTGTTTCTCACATGTTGTGGCTATTTTTCAACATCTCTTTCTCGGCAGCTTTGATGTCAGAAGAATCACTGGCTTCTGCTTCTGATTTCCATGATATATCCTCTTATTCTCATTTTACTTTCTCCAAGATTGATCAATCACACCAAATACTTGGCATTTTAATCAAATTATCTGGTCAACCTTCACAATTAACTGGCTGGAATTTATTCATCATTGATCGTGGCTTTGTTTTAACAGTTCTCGGTGTTGTCTTGACTTACAGTCTGGTTTTATTTCAAATGACTCCTTGGGCTCAGCAGCCAGGTGAATAAATAAAAACAAAATCACAATAAATCATAAAAACTATAAATCCTAAATAAAATTAATGAAAACAAATGTAAATAAAAGGTTGAATAAAAAAACTGCTTTTCGTTTCCCGGTTAAATTGAGGATAGTTTTCTTCGTTTATAAATGCTTTCATTTGATCGACCCGTTAGATGGCAGCGTTGAATGAGCAAGAAAAATTTATTGATTTTTATCTTTTAACGGTTTTTCATTTCCAGGTTAATTAAATTGGAATCACCTAAACCAATTTTATGATTTGCAATTTAAGTTATACTGCACATAAATTTTTCAATGGTCCCTATTATGGGGGAGCTATATTAACTTTTGAATCCAGTCGAATTTCGATTCGATAAATTTCATCCAATCAGTGCTTTTAAGCCAATTTAGATTGGCTCTTCTTATTTGTGAGTATTTTTCGTTGGAATATCGTTTTTGCTTGAAATTGATCTATTAAGGAAGATTGAAAATTATTAATTACGCTGCCCGACGAATAGTGTAAATAAGGTTTTTCATTTCCAGGTTAATTAAATTGGAATCACCTAAACCAATTTTATGATTTGCAATTTAAGTTACATATGGCCATTCATATAAATTTATTTATTATTTTCTGTATTTGTTTCTCAAAAAAATGTGTTAACAATTATTTCCATAAATTTCATCCAATTAGTGCTTTTAAGCCAATTTAGATTGGCTCTTCTTATTTGTGAGTATTTTTCGTTGGAATATCGTATTCCTATGCCTGTGACAGATCATAAAGACTTTTTTATTTGCAATATACTCTAATTGAGTCTTATTAATTTAATTTATAACCTAGTTTAACTAGATTTATGCTGAACTAGTCGACCTTTCATTGACGATTCACTGTACTCTCAAAGCTCCATGTAATATAAATCTTAATTGTATCTGTAGTGAAATTTAAATCTCTGTGTTGTAATGAATGACATTTTTATAAAAAACGTGCTTCTATACCTCTGTGTTTCTGTAATTTAAAGCTTCTATTGGATTAAGTGTTGTTGGCTTTCACTATGGTTCTTGACTTTTCATTTTAATCCTGAATGGTTACGTAAAAACTGTACAAGACGTATTTGACATGATTCCAAGTTGAAAATGGTTTTCTTTGCACATCTTATTATTCAAATTTCATGTGCAGATCGTTTTTCATTTGCCCTCACAATTGAATAAATGGCTACGATAATTTCGTCTTCCCAAATCGCAGTTGATTTATATTTTTTATTCAACCATTTATTCAGTCACATTCTTACCATCATCATCTTGTCTTGAAGATTTGTGAAAACATTTAATGACAACCAGGAAAGGAGAGAGAAGAAAATCAGAGGCAAAACAGAAATGTCTAAATGAATGATTAAGTCTCAACTTGGAATTCTTTCTTTTCGAACTGAAATGAAATTCAAAATAAAAATGGAAAGATAATAATGAAGGTTGCAAAACAAAGATTTTGCTGAGAAAAGGAATGAATTTTCTGGTTGAATTAAATCCAAACATTGTCAGTATCAATAAAGGTAAATATTTTTTCCATTCTTTGAAACAAAATTCCATAACAATAATAATCGATAATACAATTTGAATAACAACACCTTTCATTTGTATACAAATTATAGCTGAAAAATCAGGGAAAAAACATTGAAATAAAAGCTTCTTCAGACGATAATGATGTTAGACTTGGAAATTATACATTTTATTGTTCACAACAGCCAATTGAAGTAACCTAAAAATCCTTAGTTAATTTTGTCTCTTAAATAATGATAATTCTTTGTCTCTAACCAGCAGTTCATGGTAAAATTGAAATCACGTCTTGCTTCTCATCATGTTTGCATGAATGCCGTCAACAAAACAGATTAACTGTTAAACTTTAATACAGCTTCAAACTGTCATTCCAAGTCTTTTCTCAACCAAAACGTCTTTATCATTGTCTATTGCGTGCGTCCATTTCCATCACATTTTTCCTTTCACTTTCTGGTTCACTTTTTCAAAATGAATTTTATTCTGGTTTGTAAGATAATCCGTTTTCCATTATTACTTAATCTTATGCACAACATTTTGTGTTTATTCAAAGCTTCATTTTGCCCATTTGAAAAATAAATGATCATGATGACGGTAAAGGTTGAATGAGGAAAAAAAAAGACAAAGAAGATTGGAATAAAAAAGGCTTCTTTGACTCATTTTTTCAACTCTCTAATCCTTATCAAGATCAATCTTTGGTTTTTCATAGTTTATTCTTTTCTGGTTTTCTTTTTCTGGTTAAATGGCAAAAGACTTTGAATTTGTCGTTACTTAATCTCAACGGTTCTATCCATTTTTTGTGTCTTTATTTAGCTGTTTTGGGTTTATTGTTTTAATCTTATTAACTAATTGAGTTTGGTTAAATCCATGCTCAATGTGATCATCTGAGTATTTATCTGAATACAATTCTTACTGTTGTTAACCCAAAGTGAATCAAAGAGACCCAATTTAGAGATAAAACCGGCTCAACTCTTGAAATTGAAATACCGTCTTCAATTGTCTTGTCTTCATCTTCTTAACCTTCATCTAATTCCATCTCTAACCAAGTGATTTTTTGATTAAGAAACAAAAATTTTGCTTCTTAAGGTGATCTTTGTTGACAGAATTTTAAATAAGCTTGTGCATAACATCAACGTCTTTATCTTCATTAAATCAGTCATTGGTGATTTCATGAGTGAATTATTTTCTTTTATCACTGCCATTATTTCTGAGTCAATTCAGGCTCAAATCAATGATCCATGTTTACTTTGCCTTGAGCAATCACAGTTACATTGTCATGTTGTCTCCATAAAATCTGAATATTTCTTGATAATGTTCTTATTTTACGCTTACACTTTTATATCAACATAATCATTATCATTAACATCAAAGATATTTCCTTTTGCAATTATTTTTATCCTCATATCCATCATTATTACCAAACTCTATGCTATCTTTTAATTAGCGCCAATTGCTATTTACAAATATGTTGGTATGTTAATTGTTGAATCAACTATGAAAATATCGATTTTCTTTCTCTTGAAACCATCAACTTTTAACAAAGCTTCATGTTAAGGTTCATGAGAGCTCTGAATTCATTAGAGATAATGATTGATTTATGTAAAAGGTTGTTTTAAAATTTAATCATGTGATCATTAACTTTCATCACTTTCATCTAATGAGCTGTTTTCAATTGTTATCGCCGATGAAGCTCAAGTAATGCAGCCTTTCTGTTGGATGTTGCAGATGAATCAACATAATTCAACAACAACGATTAATGGTTATCTTGAACTTTAAATTTGGATTTTTCATTGGTTACTCATTAATTGAAGTGGATGACGCATGTTTTCACTTTCCATCAAATGTTTTCCAATCCAAATGGCAAATTACTCTGAATACATTTCAACAATTCGATGATCTAATTTCAATTTATAATGAACTCATTGCGATCCAAATTGACCTTTCTTGTGACACAAATACATGGACTATCCTTTCCTCCTTGGATCCCTAATTGAGTCAAGTTGAAGCCAGCTGATTTGGAGCTTTGATATCTCAATATGCCACTAAATGTTCCCATCCATTAACTCTTCAAATATCTTGGACAAAATTTCGTTTGACAAATGAAGTGGAATAAAGGATTGGTGTCTCAAATTTTGGAAACTGGATTGTCAGAAGATTAATCAATAATGGAATTAAAAATAACGTTCTCAATTTTTATTGGAAATTCGATCAAACAAGGTTATTTATTTTGGAAAATATATCAACATAAATTGTGGCCATCATTTAATTGACTGCAAAATAACCTTGGTTATGTTGGTCAGCCCAGTTAATTGTACACTTGATTGTTGTATCTTCATGTGAGACTAGCAATTGTCCAAACTGATAAGATGTTTATTTCATCTTCCTCGAGGGGATTGGATCCAAATGAAAGGTGAACAAAGGGAAAAGGAGAAGAGAGAAAAAAAATTAAACTCAAATTGTAGATCAAGATGAGTAAAAAACGTAACTCTCTATCATCCTCATCCTCTTCATCATTCACTCTGCTTGTTTCGTGTGTTGTTACAGCTCTGATTGTATTGATCTGGAATTCAAGAGCTAAATGGGTTTGATTGTATTTATTTTTGTGCCTGTAATTGTTGAGGTGGACACTGATTTAAATTTGAGAGATTGATTGTTGCTTTATTTATTTTATCTATTTCATTTTCTTCTTTCCTCTTATTAAAGTTGACCGATGGGTGATGCACGGACTACCATGAAAAAAAGGGATAAACTGTTTTGACCAAAAACAACAGGCAACAAGAACCACAACACAACCATCATGAAACCTCTACTTTAACCACCATAAAAGCTGTTTACCTGTTAAATTGTTATCATGAAGTTACCAGGTTATGCCAAGAAAGCAACAAAAGTTTCACTTGTTTGACCAGTAGCCAGTTAAATTCGTGATATTGAAAAATCTCTTAATGAAATGGATACGATCATCTTCAGTTGATTTTACATCAACTTGAACCTTTTGATGCATTTTTTTATCTTGGTTCGGATTTTTCAAGTTTAACCAACAAACTTTACTCAACTGATTTGACCTTATTCCCAATATAAGACGATTCCAGATTTTGGTCAAGAAGATGAAGAAAGAAGAAGAAGAACAGAAGAAACGAGATGAAAAAAAGTTAAAGATGAAACGATATTGAAAGGCATTATTGGTTCGCTGGACCAAATAAAGACTCACTCAATTTGGACAAGTTTAACCAGATAATTGATTTTTCATTTCATCGTTTTCTCCTTGGGAGTGGATCAGAGTCAATGATCATGATGGATAAAATGATAATGATAAATGCAATAATGATGCCTGGGTCAAAGAAAGAAAAGTAATGTTGATTTGAGAAACTAGGATGATGATGATCTTTAAAAGTGGAAAACCAAATTGAAGATAGAGAAATGAATTCAGGAAGCTGATTACTGAATGATCATTCTCTTGAAAATGCTTTCTTTTGTCATTCAATTTAATGATTAAAAGGCTTTCTTAAACAAAATGATAATGATGAAAATAATGGCTATCATCATCATCCTATCATTTCTCCTTATCATCAGCATTCTCCTGTTTATCTTATCATTTTTTTTCTCAATATGATTATAAAATCTTTAACAGATGACATTTTTCACTTTATCATCCTATTCAATGGCTCCTGGTCTTTTGACTATCATGCAGCTCCAGTTTTTATTTCAACATTGTCAACCTAATTGAGATAAAATTATGCATCCATGGATTATGTTTAAATATTGATTTGGTTATATCATCTTTTCAACCGTTAAATTGATTCTCAACTGACAACATTACCATCAAAATGATCGCAATCTTTAAAGAAGAGAAGGAAAAAAGGGAAAACAAAAGGATTTAAATTCAAGTTAATCTCATCTAATCCATTAACATGATTACACATTTACCAATCTACACAAAAACAACCAAAGTCTGAACCAGTGATATGCAATTTCATTTCAAATGTGAATCAACCTTACCTTTAAACATCAACTGAATGTGTTGAGTATAAATGTAACTAATCAGAAACTTGATTGAACTTTACCTGTTAAAATATTCATAAGTGATGAATTGATCGAGAAAAAGTGCAATTAAATCTACTTCATTGATTAACCGAGAATACAATAAACTAAATTGTGTTTATTGGTTGGTTACTGGGTGTTGTTGGTTTCTTATATTCATAATTATGTCACTTGGGTGAGTTGATTGTAATCAAGAAGAAAAAGGTTAACGAAGTAAAGAAATAAGAAAAGGATATTTGAGCAATTAACTGTTCCACCATTTGTTACCTTAACCAATGGTCAGTTGATTACAATTATAAAAGAGACTGCAATTAACAATTCAAAAGGTGAATTACAAGGCTCACCCTTAATTCCTGGCTATCAGTTGAAGACTAAACAGAACACTACTAAATGATAATTCAGACTTTCCATGTTTACCCGTTCATTGTAACAAGTATTTTCCAGACTCAACTCTGCATTAATCATGTTATCAACTGTTAATCAACCGATTGAGTTTCCGGTTACTTTTGAATCATTTCATTTGTCATTCATTCAAGTCTTACAATTGACTGATTACAATACAGTTGATTGCCTCAAGCATAAATGACAATCCATAAAGACAAAGCTTCTTGTGTGCTTCCAATACCAGAAAATACTAAAGGTGAAAACGTTCAACTAAAGGTATATTTCACTCTCTATATTCACCCAAATTACCCGTTTTCACAACCAGTTTAGCAAAGAAGGTTTAATTAGAGATGGATCAATTAGATTGTGAACCGTTGAACCACAATTAGCATTTAATTCTGTATCTCTGCTTCAATGGGATTTACTGGGTTGAGTTTAATGTTTGAAACAAAAAACCTTTCACCGATACTCATACTTCATATTTAATGTACAAAATGGCTTCAAGCCAAACAATCAATCAAAAAAGTTCATGTTGGTGTTAAATTTAGCTAAAATTACAAATTGTTTACATTTTTTATTGTTTAACTCTTATTAGGCCCAAGATTGAGTTGAAAAAAAGGAACCAGAATTGAATACAGATTTTGATTTCTGGTTAAGTTTCGATTGTGGACAAATGGTAACATAGCAACAGTTTACTTGCCCAGGATTTGTTGAAAATTTGAGATAATTTTTTTTCTCCTTGCAACGGTTATTTTCCTTTGTTTCCCAAATGGATTGAAAAGACAATCAAGATTGCAAATGATTCAAACTTTTATGCTCTAACCATTAAACCGTTTCTCTAGTCTCAAAGGTAATTTGAACCATTATTCATAGTAAAAATCATAATCAGACGATATTTATGTTTTTGTTTGCCTTTTTGTAGCTCATGTTTTTGTGCTTTTGTTACTTGTGTTGCTTGACAATTTGAATCATCATTTCATAATTTCTCACCTCTAAACCAAACCTCAACCATATGATAATTTGACAAAATCAACTTGTAATGGATTGTAATGATGGATATTTAGCTGTAAGTAAATAGTTGAATGTCCATTTTGTATTACAACTTGTATTTATATTTTGTGCTTAATCGTCTGGCCTCAAATTAACCCATTTTGGGTGTACATTTCATTGTTTTCTTAGAGTCAAACATAAAGCAGTACTGTTTATGCCTACAGTTTATTATCGTCATTAGTTAATTTCATTATCATCATCAATGGCAACAATAACAACAACCTTAACAATATTATCATGACTGTTATTACTGTTTACGAAAGATACAACATCCCAAAGGTTCTCATTACCGAACATTTTCTCTTGTTTATCTTGTTGTTCTTTCTCACCCATTCTTGTGAATGTGACTGATAGTGAAAACTGATTATTGTGATTAGAGGTAAAAGTGTATTCCATTTGATTTGATTATCCTTGCTGATTTGGTATCAAAAAACAATAAGTAAGTAATAATTATTCCAGTAAAAGGTAATACTGATCTAGGTAATTAACAATGTGCCCTTGAAAGGTTCAATGTTGTTTTATTTTGTATCTTTCTCTCTTCTCATCTCACCGATATCATGTAAACATGTTTCCAGGATAACCTTTACAATTAATTAAAATGTATTAAGAAGGTTAACAATGATAAAAAAGGAAGAGAAAATTGAAGATGAAAGCGTAAAAGTGGTGGTAAAAAAAAGTATAATGTTAAAAATGTGACCCTGGACCCACAAAAAAAACAAGTTGATAATCATCATGATCACTCCCATTTTTACTATATATATATCAGTATATACACCTTGTCATCAGTAAACACCTTTAACAACAGCAAAAAAAGCAGTGAACAAAGTTGGTGTTAATCGTCTGATATCGCTTACAAGTTTATTGTTCATAATCAACAATCAACTATTGAAAGTATTTATGAGAAAAAGGATAAATCTACAGACAATTCTACGCATCAACTTCATGTCTTTAGTTTCTATTACACCATTTTGTTGAACAATCTTCTCCATACACTGAATCTTCAATAATTTTTTACCCGACTATTGATGAAAGGCATCTAAAGAAAGCTAGAAAGGTTAAGAGAAAGAGAAGAAAAATCAAGGAATAAAGCCTAAGGCGAGAAGTTATCTTTGGTTCTTCTTCATCTCCATCATCTTACAAGTTTCCAGAAAAAAATGAAGCGCAACGGAGAAGAGTGAGAAAAATAAGAGAAACAAGTTTTCTCCATCTTCTTCTTCTTCTTCACCTTACTTGGCCTTCTTTTTTTCATCTTACTGTCCATAGACTTGGAGATTCCTTTAAAAAGCACTCTTTTGATCAATGTTAAAGCTCAATAGCGAAAGAAAAGTAAAGAAAGAGAAAAAAGAAAGGAATATCTTCTCTGTGCTTACTCTTTTGTTGTAATTATCATCCGTCTTCTTACCGTTTACCATCATAAGGATTATCTTTTACGTGAATGTGAGCGTTGTGTTTTTTAGTTGAGATTTTAACTGCACAACAAAACAACTTTCTTCTTCTGATTATCATAACATGAGGTTTCAATTTATATCCTAATTCATTTCAAAGTTCCTTAAACTTATCTTTCTCTTCTCTATTTTTCAACTTCATCTCTTTCTCTTCTCTCTTTCCTTCACTCCCCTTCCACTCCTCTGGATCCTTCAAACAAGTTTTTTCTCTATTCTCTATCCAAATCTCTATCTTCTCTTTCTTTCCTTTCTTTTTCATCTTCCTTTACTTCTCTTTCAATGTGTAGCTGACAAAACATTTTTTTGCTAACCATCTATACTGCTCTAGCTACAGTTGAGCGCAAAAAGTTTTCAAAAAAAACTATTTGCTTTTTTTTCTATCTTATAAACGTCATTTCAGATCACTTTGTTTCATTATTTTGACCATCTTAATTCTGGATCAATTAATTATATCACCAGTGACTTTGGTAATGATCTACATTCATTGTTTCTTATATTGAGTTGTTTACCACTTTGACGGATATAACTTTTCCCATTGTTGTCATTTTGTTGTGCCTTGTGACTTTCTGGTCTTTTTTAACCTCATCTTTACTAATATCATCTTTTGTTTTGTTTATTTTTTTTTCTTTCTGGTTCCATTTGTCATTCTGTTCACAATTTTTGGAATTAATTCAGGCCCTTGGAAATACCCAGTGATGTTAATAGTTTAAAACAACGCTCATTTTATGATAGTGATATTGGATATACTGCTCAAGAGATCCATGAACAACATCAAAGGCTCCATCATCTTGTTCAACAACAATTGCAGCAACAACAATCATCTCACCGTCGATCAGAGGATGACACTGGAATAAATGATGAAGGAGAAACAGATGCTGGTAATGATTCGTGTTTACATGACGCTCAGAGGAGATCTGTGATTGGTTATAATATTTCTAATAATTCTAAAAATCTTTATGAAGATACCTATCGACATAGCTCAACTTTACTTGGTCTTAATCCACACAATGATTATGAAAGGTTAAAGATTAATGGTCGTAACTCTGAAGTTGACTGTTCAGGTAATCCATCTGGACGTAGTCATTTAAGCAACAACAATTTCGATAATAATTGTAAAAATAATAATAGTCGGAATAACGATTCAAATTTGAGAACCTCCAACAAATTACTAGACATAACCAATCATCAATATTATCCTCATTTAATCACCATGGATGGTTTAAGGAATCAATTGGTTCGACGTAAATCTGGCACTGGATCAACTAACAATTCTATTCGTCCACCGACAGTTGAACGTTGTGATCAACTTCAGGTGACTCTTAGAGGATGGCTATACAGATTGGAAGGTGGTGCCATTAAACAATGGAAACGTCGATGGTTTGTTTTGGGTGATTATTGTCTATTTTATTACAAGGATTCCCATGAGGAGAAGTGTCATGGATCAGTTTTATTACCCAGTTACCATGTATCTATATGTAAACCCAATGAAGATGGTATAACACGTAAATTTAGCTTTAAATTGGAGCATCAAAATATGAAAACGTATTTTTTGGCTGCCGATTCTAAAGAGTCAATGGAACAATGGATGACAGCATTAAACTTGGCTTCTATTATGCAACTCAACTATGGATCAAATAACGCCAACATGAATAGTATTAATCGAAGAGATTTATCTTCTGGTCAACCTTCAATGACAGGTAGCTTAGGATATGGGCCAGACGGACATAATCAATCTGAAGGTCATGATGTTACCGATTCAAGATTAATGATGATGACAGGATCATCAATCAATAATGGTAAAGGGTATCCTACTCGGTGTCTTACTGGTAAAACTTCAGGTGGTGGTGATGAAGAAGAAGATTCTGGATTCAACTCTTATGTCCCTCGTCGTCCACCAATGCCTAATTCTATCAACAACTCATCAACTGAATCATCAGGATACCTTCCAGCTGGAGCTAAATACCCAGGTTCTTTCAATTGTACAGGCCTTTCACCAATTTCTTATCATAGTTCCTCGTATTTAGCTGGACATTCAGGTGGACAAATGTTAGTTTATCCACCGACTCATCAAAAAAGGTCACACTACGCTAATGCACCTCCAAAACCAAGACGTCAACAATTAGATGAATCGGGTGTTCTAAACTGTAGTGATTTATACCCAGTTTCTAATGAATTTGGAGCCATTCCACCGGGATCTCACTATAACAATCAGTACTTTGGTCCAGGCAATGGACCTGCTCCTGATTTGATTGCTCATAATAATAGTTCAAGTAGCAATGCTGTTAACAATTCATCTGTTTGTAATTCTTCAACAAATATTGACCAAAACAATAGTGTCGGTAGTAATACTGTCGCTGATTGTACTAATAAGCAAAATAGCACCAACACTGCCGTTAATAGCAACAACTATCATCAAGCTCCTCCATACAACGCTGAATATCCTCAACCGGATGGAATTAATATGCAATTTACTTTATCGTCTCCTATGTCACCGAACGCAAATGCAAATCAACACTATTCTATTCCACCGCCATCACAATTTACTGTTTCAAGCAATCAGATGACTGGTTATCATCCTCATCATCATCATCACATTCAACAACAAATTCAGTCACAACAGCAGCAACATCACCATCAACAGCAACCACAGCAACAGCAGCAGCAGCAGCAACAACAACAACAGTCACAACCACAAGCATCAACAGGTCAATACACGAGAGCAAGATTGCCTCCTCGTCCACATTCAGCCGATTTTCTCGATAGAGAAGCTCAAGATGAAGATGAGATAGCTGAAATTGAGAATTGCTATCAACATGCTAACAATGTAAATGACAATGCTAATAGTAATGGTACATCTTCAATACCTAATCCTAATGGTAATCATCAATATTACCAGCAACAGACATCATCTGTGCATCTTAACTCATCAGATGTTGATCAATCAAATAGTAATGGTAAAAATTCTAATCAACCTATTCAACCGCCGAAAATTCTGCCAATTCGTCCGAAATCAAGCTTAGAAAGATATGATCCTTACTATTATACAAATCATGTTGAATATGGAACAAGTAATGGTTCCATTAATCAACAAACTCAACAATTAACTTCACCTCCTCCACGACCTTGGTCTGATTACTTACAGCAACAAGCCGCACGTCCAAACACAATCCAACAACAACAACAACAACAGCTACCAACCACGTCGAATAATTTGACGCAATCATCATCAAATATTCGACCCAAAGGAATTACCTTTCCTCCATCTAATTTTGATACTTCACCTAGAGGACAACAAGATCGTGATGTTAGTTTACTTAGATTACTTGAGTGGAAACAAAAGATGCTTTCTGGTCCTTTAAATAAGCGAAACTCATCCACCACATCAAATATCAACAGTATGACTCCTAGCTCTAGCATCAAAGGTATTTCTGGAGCTGTCAAATCACCTTCTCACCATCATCTTCATCATAGTCACCATCTTAACAATTCATTTGGCTCTGACATGGCTTTCACTGATGTACCTATGCGACCTCCTTTACCAAAAGAGTATCGAACCAAAATTGGATTACCAGATTCACGAAGTCAAGCCGAAGGTGTCCAAGGATTAATGGGAGACATTCGATCTCATGAAGAGCCCATTTTTAGTAGAGCAAGATCCAAAAGTATTGGATCATCATTCCCTGTCAATGATACTTATTCATCAGATGATGAAGGTTAGTCTTGAAAAAAAAAACATTTTCTCTCTTTTTGCACATTCTCTGCTTTTCTATTGTGTCTGCACTTTCTCATCATGAACCTTAGCCCTCTTCCACCTTACCTTTTCCTTTCCATTTCTACTTTTATCTCTCGCTTACTCATACGCACCTTTATCTTTCTCCGTATCTTTTGCCATTGATTGAACTGTGAAAATAATGATCTTAAAGTTTCACACTGATTAAGAGTCAATTTGCTCTTCAGTTGTCATCTTCTGTGAAATGTTACGCTATATTTCGCTTTTAATTTGTTGCTGAAAAGATGAACATGATGATTATTAATGATGGTTAAACTGTAGGTATTTAATGAGAAAGGTCATGAAAGATTTTAAAAGTTGTTGTTTTATTTTTTTTCAAAAATTAAATGGTGAATCAGATTGATTAGAGTTGATCGGCAACCCTCAGGATACTAAAAGGTTTTTTGCCTAAAAGGATCTCACATTGATTATATAAAATAATTTGTCTGTTGATGGAAAAGAAGATGATGATCATGATGATGAGAATGAGCATGTATATATAAGGAATGATTATGTGAAGAAATGAAGATTTAACAGGAAGAAAGGACATTCTGGTCCAACCTGAAACTCAAGTTGTAATGATTTTTTGAAAGGTAAATACCATGATCTTTAAATGCTATAATAAGGCTTAAAGTGAATATAATGACAAAATGAGAGATCATCTTGAGAATATTTGAATAAAATCGGCCAAGGAAAGAAAATGTTTCTTTGTTCATTTTCCTTCTTATTTTTGTTTCCAATTGCTTATCAAATATACCCACGTTGATTAAAGACCCATCTTATCCCCTGATAGTTAAGAATAATCAAGATTACTATTGAACAAGGTTCTGAGAATTATGGTCAGAAAATTTAAAATGAAAATCTTTTTTTCAACTTTTCTTATTATTTGCAAGCTCAAGTGGATCATCATATTTTTAATCTTACATTTTTCCTAATCTGAGTCTTCCCATGAAACATCATGTTGAGCAGCCTTTGCTTCTGATGCGTGCTAAGTTAACTCTCAAGTTACTATGAACTTATCAAAATGAAATGAAAGATTTTTTACTCTTTTAAACCTTTCTTTGCTTCTTTCTAATGAGATTGATGATTTGAAGTAAAAAAGATCTGAAAACAGGATTTTCTTTGCAACATTGATGAAATTAAGTTTCAATTCAACCCAATTGACCTCAATCGATTTTCTTGCTTTATAACCTTTTCTTGTATCTTCATCTTTCAAAACAAAGTTCATCAAATTATGAGCACTTCTAATGGTACATTGAAGTGTATTTTGATTAAACTTTTCTCTTCGCATTTGAAACTCAAATTTGATGAAATCTTTTTTTCTTCCAAATTGCATTTTCATTGCTCATCTTTTAAATAATCAACATTATTGACTCTTGAACAGTTTAATGAAACTAAATTTGATTCATTTACGATACTTTCAATTTATATGGCAAAGGAGTTTTTTCATTAATATTGTTAACTCTTTTTCCCCTCTTCTTACACCGAGAAGAACAGAAAAAAATGAAGCTAATCACAATTAACTCTGGACTTATTTTATTTAATACAATAACACAAACAAGACTGAACCAACTCTTACCAACATATATCTATCTGACTCAATACATGTTTCAAACATAACACAACATAACAAAATTAACAACACCAATTACTTCTACCATTTCCATCAATTGATTAATTTTATTCTGCTAACACAATTTAATCTTAAATGATGTAAACTTATATTAAATCAAACTCTTGGACTAACTGTTTGTCTTTTCTAACCAACGTTTCGAGTTAACTAATGACTCAGACACTATTAACATTAACCATGAATGACTAGCGAGACAAATGAGGAAAGCAAAAAAAAAACAAAATTAACCTTCGTAACAAAAAACGAGAATTATATTTGACTTATATTTAATAAAATGACATTCTTTGATTCTACCTTTCATCAAATTGCTAAAAATAAAGGAATTAAATCAGGATCAACTGAAGGAGTTCTGGAACCTCAATCTAAAACTAATCGAGTTCGACGTCGCCATGAGAGTTGTGGTAATCCTCTTGCATCCACTTCCAATAGTAAAGATGTTTGCAATAGTAATTTTATTGCTACGCAACCAATCGAAGCAAGAGATGATCGAATCTGTACTTCTCCAGATTACATGAATATCAATCAATTGTATTCAATGTCTGTCAAAATGGTTGCTTCCAATCCAACTTATGTGGGACCAAGGAATGTCAACATTGTTCCAACCGATGTTATGGAAAATTCAACCTCATCGGAGTTACCCTCCATGTTGACCTTACCTCGCAGTGGAGGCGACGGTCAAGAAGCTGAAGAAAGTAGAGACAACTTTATCAAGCGTGAAGATTATTACAAGGCACCTTCAACTTTACGACAACCTGATCTCACCATGTCTACTCATCCACAGTCATCCATGGTGATGAACATGATGACAACCGATACAATCTTGCCATCAACACCAAGTGCAACAAATGTATTGAGATACAATGATGTTACCCTTAACTCAGCTGTACCAATAATAGTATCAGGTCATCAACAAATGCCACCAACAATTCATCAACAACAATTCAACCAATATGATATACATACAGGTTTACCTCTTGTAAACCCACAAGCACCTTTAACAACAACAGCAACTTCTTACTCGGCTGTTGCCAAACACAGAGGAATTGTAAATCAAGCTGATGTCATAACAGCAACTCAGTACGCTTACCCTGACCAATGGAACGCTTATGGAGCAACTCAATCTGAAAATCAACCAATGGTGCGATGTGTTTCCCGAGGAGCGACTACAGTTGCACCAACAAATGCTCAGCTTTTTTACAGGCCAGCAAGTTGTGGACCTATTTCCAATGTTCCTGACTCAATTAACTCTTTAACTAATAACGCTGTTAGTAGCTCTTCTAAAATGCCTCCTCCTCCTCCTCCAAAGCCACAGCCCAAAAATGTAATGAGCTCTTCAGCAACGTTTGATCAAGCCATGCCACCTTCAACTTTATTAGCATCAACGAAGCCTCAAAATAGTGCCACTCCTTTTACCAGTGATGGTAATGAGCCTAGAGATACGAGACTATCTGAAGGCAAAACACTTGATCTAAACAAACAAGGCAATGATGATAACAATGTTGTTAACTCATCAAGCAACAATAAGGCTTGTGTTGAACCTGTTAAGCCTGAAGAGGCTGTTGCTCCACCGCCTAATTTTGTAAAGGAACGCATTAAATTATTGGAATCTAAAGCTTGTAAAGAAAGTGATGCTTCAATATCTCAACAAACTTCAACTTCTGTGAAGGATGTGAAACAGTTAACCTGTAATAAAAACAAATCATCTGAGTTATATGACGATTCAGAGCTTACAAGTCGACCTTATAGCAGTTTAGAAAAGCCAAATATGCAATTGAATGAAACAAATTTGCGTAACTCAGCAGTTTCTAATAATTATTCACCCCTTTCATCAGTCCTTGCTGACCTTAGGAAAACTGCTGAGTCAATGGGAGACAAGCATTTAAATTCACTTGAGTCTAACAATTCAAGTAAAGAAGGCGATCGGGGCGATGCTGATGGAAGTTCAGGTTCTAATCAACCAATATCTTCTAAATTAGCAAACCTTTCCAATAATCCCAATGTTTCAAGAGGACCCTCTTCAGTTGAACCCGCCTCTGCATCTTTTTCTGCATATGAAGATAAAGGAGAAGACGCCGATGATGAAATGAGCCGGGAATTTGATTCTAATCAATATTCAAGTGATTCGGCAAGAAACTGTTCAGTTCCTTTGAGTGCCAAACAGAAAGTCTCAACGAGAGACAAAAGGATTGCATTTTCTTCTTCAGTGACAACATTAGGTCTCGATGATCCTATGACTAAGTCAACCTCACAAGGTTCATCAGACTTGCCAGTCTCATCTTGTCAGAACTCATGTGACCCCAAGGTTCCCTGTCAACCTGTGCCAGAATTAGTTGTGGATTCTAGTTCATCTTACTCTACTTCAATGGATAACCCTGCATATGTTAGTTCCTCTTACCTTGAATATGCTTTGAAAGATGATGAAAAGCAATCGGAAAAAGTTTCATCATGTGATCAGCAAAAACATGAGTCAAGAACTGATGAAGATGTGCAAATTGAATCAAATGTAGATACTGGAGATACCATAGAAGCAACAAAATCTGCACCCTATTATTATTCAGATTTATTACCCAATGTAAACGATGACCTAGAGCTTCCCATTAATTATCGCCAACGAGAAAAATTAGCAAGAAATCAAAGGTCCACTCTTTATGGTGATAGATCAGTTAGAGACGAAAGCGCCTACTCTTTTAATCAGCCAAGTATCGGACCATCTGGTAAAAAACGGTGCATCACTCCAGAAATTGTTACAGAAACTGATGACAAGTCGGTTAATCGTGATCAAAATGGAATAAGATCAAGCCTTCGGTTAAATTGCTCCAAATCTGAAAAACGTCGATCAAGATCTCTTGAAAATTTGGATGATGATCATTTATATGAAAATTTGGAGTTTCTTAAAAGCAATTCTGAGGTTAAAGAAAACGATGATAAACTTCCAGAGCTTCCAATTAAGCAGAAAAATATTTTAGCGACTGAAAAAAAGACGGTGACATATTCGTCAAATCGTAAGGTTAAATTTGATGAACCAATGGATAAGCGAAAAGAGTCTACAAATGAAACCGAGTCAGAGTCAGATAGATCGCTGTTGGAAGGAGAAGGTATTTTCAGGAAATGAAGCCAGAGTTGATTGTTTCAGCTTTCCAGATTGATAATTTTAACTCATTTTTTCATTTGTTGTCAATGAAAATTTTATTTATTTTGTTCCTTTAAAATTTTTGTATTTTTCAATCTAGGCTCACAATCTGGATCTTATTTGGATAAGAAATTGAGAAAACGACGTTCACCCAGAAATAGGCGATCTCAAGATGATTTGAAAAATGTTTCAGATTCAGAAACAACGTCTAAACCTCCTCCACCTCCACCTCTTCCATTGGGTTACAATCAACACGGATATCCATATTATTGTGTCAATGATAATCTTAATAAATTACAACGAAAATTGTCTCGCTCAGTAGGAACTGGCTTACAAAATGAGCAAGACATTTACAATTCCAAAATATTTTCTTCTGCGGGAGAACTGCTGGGCAAAACTCATGAAGAATTGGTTTTACTTTTGATTCAATTGCGAAGGAATCAATCTCATCTAGCATCTACTTGTGAATCTTTGAGGCTACAAATGGAATCGGAGGAAAAAATGATGGAAATTGAACCTCAAAGACGAGAGGAACACAAGAGTCGCTACAAAGAGTTGCGTGAAAGTCTTTTGGAAGTAGAAAGGCAATATGAGAATCAATTTCCAGTCATTGACATGGTTGATAACATGGTTAAACTTAATCATTCTGGTCCAGGAGTAACATCAAACCGTCAACAACAGCAACACAATCGAGACCATCGTGACTTATCTCCAACTGATCAAGATAATGATTTTGATTTTAAAAGATCAAAGGCTGCTTCAACATCCTTCCTTGATCGATTTCCCGAATCACAAGGTGTTTCATCTTCGTCCACTTCAGCAGTCGCTCATTCAGGTCTTCCAATAGTTCCTCAACGTGGTGAACAATTAAAGTTTACTAACTACTTATCTCCTCCCAAGAAAAAGGAAGATGAAGAGTTGGTAGAATCTGCTGAACAAGAAAAACTAATTCAATATTTGAAACAAGACAAAGATATTTTAGAAAAAACCTTAGAAGGTGTTCGTTCATCGTTAACAAATTTAAGCTTAAATGGTACAAGTGATGGCGAAGAATCTCCATCAACATCATCTAATATTGATAAAATGAAACAGCAACAGCAGATACTTGAAGGAGAGTTGGGACGAGTTCGAGGTTTAATAGTACAATCTGCAAAACGATTAGAGCAAAGGGCTGTTGAAAATGCTTGGATTGAACAAGATGTTTTAATGGCAAGATCACAACTCGATCAAATTTTATCTTCTGCATCAACATCGACAACAATGACAACCACCAATAGTTCAGCATCATCTAATCCTGATCCAGTAAGTTTGGAAGCTGAACTAGCCAATATTGATCAAGCCATTGATAATTTAAATGCTAAGCGCAAAGAAATTTTAGAAAACTTCAAGAAGCAAAAAAATTCCGATTCTACAACAACAACGACATCGACCTCGACTCTATCAACTGCCCAAAAGCCTCAATCAACTACCGTTACCATGAATCAGACTGCAGTATCGAGTGTAAAGACAAATACCTCAACTAGCTCTGGTTATGGTGAAACTGATTTAGACAGTATGGAATCTCGTGACATGACTCCCTTTAATTATTTAAAAGGTTATCAACAATTAACGCCAGAAAATGAGATTGCTTCTACTTCTGGATCCAATCATCTTTATGAAAATTTAGATTCCAATTTAGTCAATTATGGTTATTCTCATGGCTCATCCAACAAGATCAATGGTAGATCCGAAGAGTTTATTGATGATGATCCTGGCAGGCAATGTCAATCGGATGATTCCACTAATGAATCTTCAACTACGCGAAGTGAAAAAATTAAATCAGATCAAATGGTCTATAATGATAATTATGATTATGGTGAATCAAGTGATGGACAACAATACACTTTTCAACAGCCTTTATTAGCTTCAAATAAAACTGTTAGATTGGTTAAAAGGGAATCGGAAAGACGTCGAGTAACTAACAAATTATCAACATATTCAACATCAGTTATTAATTACAACAATAGTAACAACAATAATACTCAATTTTATCAACATTTTCAACAAGAAAATGATTTGTCCGATTTTCCTGTTTACACTGTAAATCATTCAGATGGGTCAACAACAATAATTGATTCTGGTGATAATGATGAACATTTTTCAGAAGTTGATTATGACATGGTAACCAGTAAAAGGCCGTCATCTTTAAATCTAATTGAACCAACAATCAAGTCTGATGAAAGGAAAGAGGGTAGATGATCATAATGAGCAAAAAATGTCCTTGCTTGTGTCCATGTTATATCTTTTATATCAATCTGTTCCTCTTCATGTTCTTTCACTAGTTCAGTGTCAATGTTAAAATCAATGATTGAACCACTGAACAATCAACTATTTGCTCCAAAAATCAAGTAAATCAATGTTGAGAACCTGAAGTAAATTTATCTTTGCATCAAGATAAATTCAGAGAGAACACAATATACCTCAATCATCATTATTTTGTTTTAATTTTAATTTTATCTTTTGTTTAAATTAATGTACAAACGATTACCCTTTTATTTTATGTATATCAATTTATTTCAACTGTTAATCTGGCCTGTCAATATCCTTCTATGTGTTGAGTCAAATCAATCATCAATATCCAGAGCGCGTCCTGTTTCCGCCATCGATCAATCCCAATCAATGCTCCATTTTGATTTTATTTGTACGCTTTATTTTGTGATCCCGTTTGATCTGTTATGAACCATTCCACTCACTATTTGTTTTACAATTTACTGAATTGCATTGATATAAAAAGTAAAACTCGAAAATTGCTTGATTTTGTTCATCAATGATTGATCCACCTAATTACAGGAGAAAAGGAAAGAAAGAGAAAAACTACAAAAGAAACACTCTTTTCATAGTTGTACCCTGAAATCAAACACCTTCGAGGCAAAGGTTTTGAACCTGTAAACACAGTGACAATTTGCTGCTGTAAATTGTATTAACTGTTTAGGATAAAATAGATTAAATCCTAAACCATGTTGATATAGTGATCGAGAAAAGTCTTATCCCAATCTCCTTGTGAGTCTTGATTGTTTTTTGATTAATAAATCTTGTATTTAATTCACTAACTTTTCATCTTTCTTTTCATTTTTTCGTTCCATTTACAGGCTGATCAAAATTCAAGTCCAGCATCATTGCAGTCATCTTTATCCAATTCTACAAATGAATTGCCCATCTTGACCATGGAAGGCTCTTTATCTAAATATCCTGAAATTGATGGTCAAGACATGGAAAAGGTTAACAACACCGATTTGCGACCAGCTACTTCAACATCTGGATATCTTTCCAATGTCAGTCAACATCATCCATCTCAAAATTCATCTCCAACATGCTCACCATCGGTATTGTATTTGCTATTAGTTTTGAATTTCAATTGATTAGTGCACCATTTTGCTCAAACTTTTCTTAATTTCATTCATAGGCCCTATCAACGTGGAGATCAACTGATGACAGTGATATGGAAAAACCTTCAAATATAAAGACAAACAGCGATTCGATAATTACCTCACCTCAATCATGTGACTCTCGCCAAAATTTTATAAAACCATCAACCACCAAGAATGTTGCAAATGTTGCTCTAGATACTGTCAAAACTACTGATGATAAAAGCCAAGAATCCATGGATGATGAAGGAATTGCTCGAGAAGTAAGAATCAAAGAGTTGCTTTCAAGCAGGAGTTTCTGAAAAGATCAATTTTGATTTTCTATTCATCTTAATAATTTAAATTTGAAAAACATTTTAATTTTTCATCTTATCTTTTTTCAGACAAGTCTTCCCAAAAAGATTGAAATACCTCATCGTTATACTCCTGATTCGGAAAATGAGTTGACTATGGAAGAGCTTACCAAAAGATCTATGAAAGCCGAGTCTTTTCGTAAAATGCTTTCAGATGCCGCTTACAGCTCTTATACACCAATTCATCGTCGTAATCAATCAAACTCATCCTTTTGCTCAACCGGAGGACTTCCTTCATCCTCAGCTGTCCCAAGTCTTACCACTGGCGACCCAAATGGTTTACAGCCTCTTCGCAAAATTTACTCTTTTGGAGACATTGAAAACCTGGACTCTTCTAAACAGGTTGTCACCAAAGATGTAAAAAACATATTCGACCAAGAGAAGAAAAGGCGAGCTCAACTCTTGGCTTTGAGCTCTGAAATAGCCAAAGAAGCGACTGAAAAAAGTCGCAAAGTTGCAAGTGAGTTATCATCTCAACATCAGCAATTAAATTTTTCATTTCTCACCAATTTCGTTTCTTTTTCTAATTCATTTTTAAATCTTTGCAGATGTAATTCATGGCACTCACTCGCCATCATCATTCATCTGAATCACAGAATGATCAATGTTTCATTATGCATCATTTTTACATTTAAATCATATTTTTGAGTTCAGTTTGAATAGAAAACTATTCATGGTCACTCGATAGTTTTTCAATTTTGACCATTAACCAAACTAGCGCACAACGAGATTTATCCAAACGAGAATTGGATTCCATTGATGAAGAGGAATGATCTGAATTTGTATTTTCAATTGCAAGTGAATTGAATGGATGGCAACCAGATCACAATAGATTCCAATACTTGCAGCATCACGAAGTCCTACTCATGTTCCTCTCTTCCAAGCTTTTATAGCACAGCAATTGAATCTCTCGATTGCTTGTTTAATTCATTTGAAATTCAATCTCATTCAACTTTCCTGATTTATTTACAAAAGCAAGCTAAATTGTTCAGCTATAACGAGATGTAAAAAGTTTATAAAACGACAACAGTGAGGGTTGTATTCAAAATAAATAAGTTATTAAGAATCACCATTGGCCCAGAAAATCGAAAGCAGATTTTTTTAACAAGAATAAATGTAAAATATTGAAAGTCAACGAGCAATTTAAAAAGATTTGCTTTAAAGATGAGACAATTAACGACGCCAAAAGAGGATAAAAATGCAAAAAAATTGAATCAGTTGGCTGCTAATCAATTTATCAACGATCCTATTTTGTCAACTCTTTTACGACGCAAAACTATGCTGGTAACAATTGAAATTGAACCCTGTTAATACACACATCAACATTTTATCCCAGTGATTATCTCAATCAAATGTTGTTTTTCTGAAGAAAAATTATTTCTAAATTATAATTTATAACTTTGAATTGTTAATTGCTCATTACAATTATATAAAGAAAACCTCTGTGAATAACAAAATACCACAATTTAAATCTCTTTTGTCCCTTCTCGGTCCCATTTTCAATTCCTATTTAAACATCTTTTTTTGTAACAAAAATTGAAAAACAAATTTAATTGATAAAATAAAACAGAAACATTGATTTCATTGTTTTCCTTGTTTGCTCAACAATTGTCTCAACTTAATTGTCTTTTCCATTTAAATTTCAAAGTTGAATTATTTGTTTAACTTGAAACAATCAACCTAACTTTAAATCAATGTTGGCCTTTGGCTTTATTGCCTTATTAATCACATTGATCGTCTCATTTGGTTAACCATCAAGTGTTTAAATGCGCAAATTGGTTTCGCCTGTTTTTTTGCTGTTTATTCAATTTTACACGAAATGCGCAAAAACATGGGATGAACGAAAACAGGGAGTAAATTCTGAGGATAAATTCTGAAAGTGATTCTGAGTTGAATCTTTTGCCTTTCCTTTCATTTGTCCCCCCTAACTTATCATGCCTATTCAATTCAGTTGCATTAGTTGTGTTCATGGACTCACAACAACTACTCAATAACATTAATTCAACTTGAATTTCAACCTTAATATTTACTCTTTTCTTAGACTCTAATCTTTTTAGGTTACTTTTTTTCCTATTTTTTGCCTCTTCTTCTTATTACCGTTTTATTGTTGATGTTTTATCGTTAACCAATCAAACAGAGAGTAAATTGTCATCGCTATAGCCATCATTATCATCATCATCACTATCAACATTATTGTCTCTATTCAATAGTCTGGATTACATTTTACTAATTAAACATTCCCTTGTTTCCCTTAAATTCAATTGTTGACTTGTGACTTGCCTTTTGCATTGCTTTAACCATCTCTCTACAGTCGTTATTATATGTGTGTGTTCATTGATTACCAAAAAGCCATTTAACCATTGACAAAGCAACATGACATCAACGTCCATTGATATTTTAGACGAGGAAACATGTGATTTTTATTATGGCAGCATTTCCCGTGAAACAGCGGAATACATTTTATGGGATAAAGGATGCCTTGATTCAATGTTTCTCATTCGTAAATCAAATTCTGATTACGTTCTTTCATTGTGCTACCAGAAAAGGTAAAGTCAATTAAAGCTTCATCCATCTTAATCAAATCAATTTTCAACCTTCAGCCTTCCATGTGATACAAAATTCCTACACTCTTTACAACCTAAACTCTGAAAGAAAAGTCATTTTTTCCAACAAAATACACGTTATGCAAAAGCTTAACATTAAAACTCGAAAGGTAAAACATTAAATGTTTACATAAATCAGTAAAACCAACCAGAATCAAGTACATCAAATCATAATTATGTGACAAGAAAAGGATTGAACCTGAAAAACTCTAAAGGCCATAACAAGTTAACTCAAAGTTGGTTTTGGATAAACATTAAACTTAAATTGGGTTTAACCATTAGATTATCAAGAGTTTACTGTAAAACCCTTATCGCTTGACTAACAGTCAACCCAAACGGTTGACTGTCTTGCATTGGCTAACAAGCCTGACTAGCTACTTAAGCATCATCAGTTTATTTTTGCCTTATTATTGTGACAACAAATTGCACGAGTCCAAGCCAACTGTATTGATTAATAAGGTCACATTTATTATGAATCAAGTTGATTTGATGCTAATAAACATTTCCATTTTACTTGGAAAAACATTTCAACATTAATCAACTTGATATTTTGAAGCGTATGGGCAATCTTTCATCTGTAATACCGTTTCAACCCTCACTCAGTACATGTTATATAATCAATACAAATCCATGTATTGAAGGTCAAGTTTCATTTTTCATCCTCTCTCTCTCTCTTTGATATTTTGGGTCCAAACATAATCTGGTTAAACTGTTGGTATAAGTAAACAATGAATAACTTGACTGCTTTTCAATTTCAATTTAACCCATCAAACCAGCCATCGATTGAGCATGATATTTTTAACCAGTTTTTTCACCTGTTTTACCTTCATGTATCTTCCAACAATAATTTTAATTTGACTTAAATTATTTAAACCCAACTTAACCTTTGGTAACTCTTTGTACTCTTTTAACCATCAACCTTTTGTGTTCAATAATTACACATTTGTGTATCATTACCATCATGCATTCAATTCTGAAAATTGTGTTAACTCTTTTTTTATATCATCATCTCTCTAAATGATGTCAATAGATTGAATCCATTGTTTATCTTAACTCTTCCCTTTCGCATTTTTTTTTCATTGTATATTACAATACATTGTCAATGATATTGTTAACTATGGCAACATCAGATAAGGTTGAATAGGGTTAACAGGGAGAAGCAAACATTCATTTGAATTGATAAATGTCTCTATGTAAATTAACATTGTAAACAAAAACAGATGACAATAAGGTAATGACATCAATGATAAATTCATGGAAATGAAAATATCTACATTTCCATAACCAGGTAAAGGATTAATTTTCAATTTCCACTCTCAGATGAAATCGTTGACAAGCTATTCAAGTAAATGTCCATCAATAGTGAAATAAAGATAACATTTTGACCCTCAAGTCTGTAGTTCAATATATAAGTCATGATGGGCCAATATTTGAAAAATAAATTGAAAGAAATGGCCAATTCTTGAATAAATTAATCTGTAACTCAAAATGAAACATTGTTTCCCATGATTCCTATCGAGGTTAACTTTTATAACAAACAGTAAATTTACTATGAAAAATAGCAAGCAATTATTATGCAGCCTTTTCCATGTAAACTGGCCGTAAAGGTTTCCAACTTTTGTTGGTTCAAATAACCATTTCTAACATAAAGAAGATCATATAATCTCTCAATCACTCAAAGGCTACAAACTTCGTCGATAAATTTGATTAAAAATGAACTTTATGCAGACATGTTCATCGGAAATTGAACCTTTCACAAGCTCTTTTAAATCACCAGTAATCTAAGTTTAACAATTTGTAACTTTTCACTAAACAAAAAATTTGTTGAAGAAACCATCAGAACTAATCCAAAACGAAAGCGACTCAACTTAAAATTATCCTTGAAACTCCAACAATCAACGCTAAACAAACTTATTCAAATGTTTTTCATCGATATGGAACTTGTCATTTCTCGGTAAAATTGAAATCAATTTCCCATCTAAATTAGAATAAATAATTTACGATGAAATGGCTTCAAAAATGCAACACATTGATATTTACTTTTGATCGAGACATTTTGGGTATAAACTCGCTCTTTGTAATGTGCTTAGTTTGAAGGAAAAAATGACTTTTTAAGCGAAATATTTGAATATTGAGATTAGAAGAAGTTTAAAATTTATTCATTCGATCGAAAGAAAAAAGTGTGGAATATTTTTTTCTCGTTAAATTTGCAAATGTTTGTAACCATTTTTTTGTTTCGTTGCAGCATCCTTCACTATCGTATATCTTACCTTGGAAATGGTGAGGTTATGTTACACGGTTTAGAGGCTCAAAAGTTTTCCTCCATTGAACACCTTTTAGAAGGTGTTGAAGGACTTGCCATTAAACCCGGTTTACCCTGTGAACGTTCATCAGGCTGGCAATTGCCACCCACCTATTGGGGATTAACAGTTAGTGAAATACGTTCATCGATAATAAAAAAATCCCATGAATGGGGCTTTACCGAAGCACTGGTCACTTTTCCCATTGAATACCTTTCACTGGGCAACGATGACTATAATCGCTGCATCTTGACCGAAGTAACTAAATCATTAATTAACAAAACTCTACACGAAATTCAACCCTGGTTCCATGGAAGGTTAACCCGACTTGAGGCTGAAAAAAGTCTCGATGAAAGTGGACACAAGGAGGGAAAATTTCTGTAAGTTTGACTCTTTTTCCTCTTTCCTGCAACCTCTAATCATCCCATATTTACTCGATAAACCAAACTCACACAAGTTGATTATTTTGATTACCTTCATCAATTTCACTCCATTTCCTCTTTACTCACATTAATCTATCTTCAATTGGAATCAGCTCATTTGTATCTTTCACTTTCATCACTTGAAACGAGAAGAAGCGAAAATCCAATTAACGTGAAATTTAGACTCAAATATTCAAAGTATGGAGTAAATATTATTGCATTATAATATTAAACAGTGAACCGATGAAATGAAGCAAATAACAAAAAAGAGTTGCAATGAAAAATATTCATCAACTGAACTTTTTTTTATCACTTCATATTTCAACTACTATTAGTTGACATTGTTATAACTCTTTTTTTTACTCTGGTGATATTTTCCTTCTACCAATAATTACCATCAACATTATCAATGAATTTATTTGAACCATTTTTACTTCCAAGTTTGACTAATTCAATTTGGTTAAGCACTTTGAGTTGGAAGCAACAAAAGGTAATAAAAATAACTCAAATATTTTCAGTTCATCATGAAATGCTTTTTCCACATTTCTTGAAAGTTAAGAGTTTGTAAAATGAGTTTACCGATTATTGAGAAAATAGTTTTGTCATATTTTGCTTTGCATCGAAAGCTGTTCAACTTTATCAATTGCAATTAAGTAAATTGAAATTTTCCTTTTTTCTTCTTCTTCTCATCAAATATTCCTTTTTTTCCATTCTGAAAATGATTGAAGAAAAGGGTGACAAGTGATTCTCGAAATTCTTGCCAATATTCAGATGACACTGATGAGTAATAATTTTAACCTGATAACAACTGATTGTGTGTTTTGAATGTGTTTCGTCTTCACTTTGAATTGACCATTGAATGGACAATTCAAGTTATAGATTGAAAAGGATGACTCTGATGATGTGGATAAAGGGATGAAGGAAATGAATCGAGAGTAAGTAAAGTTGCAAAACTCGACTAAATATCATGGAAATGATCAAATATTGATTTTGAAGGAAAAGGAGAAAATTTTTTTTATTATTATTGCTATTATTATTATCATAAAGGCGCATTAAGAAATATAAATATCAATATCGAGAGAAGAGGGAATTAAATGAAAGTTTTCTTTCACTTTCTTTACTCGCTCTCTCTCTCCTTTGCCTTCTTCTTTCCTCCTTTTTTCACTCTTTAACCAAGAATATATATACAAAAACTTGGGAGTAAAGTTTATTGAATAAAGTTGTTACACGCTTGAAAACATTCAATAAGCTTATTGGCTATTGAACAGTTGAACTGAATTGAATGGAAAGAAAAATGAAATGAGAAGAAAGTGAAATTGCAATTTTCATTCACGAGTTTCAACTTGCTTTTTTTCTATTCAATTTCTTCTATATCCTTGAAAATATCGTTTACTTAACCAAACGGTCATTGCCACAATTGATTATGACAATATTTAGTCATCAGCTGGGATGGCCTGGGAGGGAAAACTCCCAGCATGGAAAATATTGCAAAACGAATAAAAAAATTTTCGAATTCAGTTTTGTTCCTAAATTCGTGGTCATTCCCATGTTATAAATCACTTCAGTTAATATGATCTTGCATCTTTTGATGATTCGATAATCATGAGTATTGAATGCAAATGGATAAAAGTTATGAGCTGTAATGTTTACTATTTTTATAAAGTTAACATTATTTTCAGGATAAAGTTCTTGAGGAATTGCACCGACTGATGTTAATTCTCATTAGCAATTATTTCACTTAAAATGAGAAACTCTTTTACAAAGATATAAGAAATGATTTCCTTCCAAGAGGAAACATTCCCAGTAAATTGAAAATTATCAGATATTTTCAAGTTATATCAAGGAAGGATAAAAAACAATTTACCTTGCATCATATTTCATTTGAGTGTCAAAATGAACATGAAACTTGATCATGCATTCTTCATTCTTTCTGCATATTCACACAAAATTTTCCCTCCCTGTTTATATATTTTTTATCTGCAAAACTGGTAAACATTTTCACTGCTCAAAAACGCTTAAATATATTGACATAAAGTTTTATCAAGTTGAGGTGAAAATACATAAGTTACAGTGAGTCGAGATAAAAGAAGGCAAAGACAAAGATATTAATTCTCAAAAGGTTGGGAGTGAAAACTGGGAGTTGAAAGTATCTTTTTTCAACACTTCTTATGACGTGGCAATAAGTAAAAAAAGAAGTGTAAAGAGTGAGCAAAATGGAATGGAAAGAGTTGAGTATTGCGATGAAATGGTTAATAAAAGGAGAATCCAAGAATCATGGTTGATCACAGATCCATTTCAGATGAATTGTATCCAACGGAAATAATATTGCAATCTATCAATAGTGTATCAATTTTCCCTTTCTTTTCGCTCTCCACTTCTTTCTATCCATCACAATTCATTTTTCAATCCACCAATTTCTTCTTCTCTGGCAACATATTCTTTCACCATCATGCACATCATCGTCATCACCATCAGCAGCAGCATCATCTTTTCCTTTTTTTCTTCTTCTTCTCCTTTCTTCTTGTTTTTCTTTATTCTCTTATCCCTTACATGATGCTTGAGAGAATGGAAAAGCATCTTGAATCCAAAGCAAAATGGAACCTCGTTAACTGCATCAACATTTCTGGTTCAATCCTTTCATCTCAACTGGACCAAACCATATTCACACAAAATTTCAACCTTTTCATTGCTTCCATTCTTCAACACTTTCATCTGATCATCTTCACATTTCTCTGATAATCACTAAATCATTTCTTTTTTAACGTTAACTGGCTCCTTCCTCATTTCATTTTGTCCAATAATATTTACAGAATCACCATGAAATTGATTGTTTCCTTTTCCAATTGATAAGTCAACATTTTTCGATTCATTGTTTGATTTTTTTCATCCAACTGAAAATACAAGCTTTTCTTGAGCAAATTTTTCAATCAACTTTCAACAAAATTGCCAAAATTTTTGTTCTAATTTTAAACGTTCAATCCAAGTTTAAAGTCAATTTGCAATTCCAAAGATGAAGGCAAATCAAAGATATAACAGTCCATTAAGTTGACAAGAGCAATTTATTGTTTCCTTGCCTTTAATAATAAACGTAAGAATCGAGTATAAAAAAGGCTTTACCATTGAATACATTTTCAATTGATTCTTCTCAAGTTCATTAATGACAATAAACCAGGCAGAAGTTGAACATTTTTTCAAAATTTTTCTCTTCTCTTTCTCTTCTTTCAAGAAAAATGTTGAAGAAGAAAAAAGTTGCAATTTTACCATTTTTATAATCAAATGAAATAAATATTCATTCTTCACAGGCAATTGGACTCAGTTTGTCTTGAACACTTTTACCCAGAAAGAAAAGGTTCATGTTGGTTTTCAATGGTTAATGAATGAGTCCAGAAATGTTTTTAAACTCTAAACATGTTCAATATTCAGTTGAAGCTCATGATGCCTTTTGCTTCATGTTTTCACATTATTTCATTCAAGTTGATTGCCATTTTTGGTTCATCATTTTCATTTCCAAACATGAATGGTGAAAAAGTAAGAGAAGAGAAAAGGAAGAAATGTCGAAAAGAAAAACTTTCAGATTGACTGAACCATAAGGATTTAACAATGTTTTCAATCATCTTTTTCTTTCCATTTCAAGTCATTCTCACAAATGTGATAAAATGAGTCAAGGCAATGAAAATTGAAGATGGATAAATAGAGTAAGAAAGGCAAAAGGAGAAGAGTCAAGGGAAACAAAAGAAAGGCGAGAAAGAGATAAAAAAGAGATGAGTTTTGCTCGATAGACACATATTTTTATATTTTGCCAACTTTTTTTCTCTCTCTCTTTCCAAGATTCTCCAACTTTTCTGAGCATCTTCATCTTTCAGAATCACAATCCCACTCTAGAGTGGTCCATGTAAGAGAAAACCGGCTTTTCTCCTTCTCTCTTTTCTTGCCTTCTTCTCTCATCATCTTCAACATAATATTCTTGCAAAAGGATATCTTTTATAATGTTGCCATCTTCAATTCTGCTTTTTATTTCTGTCCACATTTACTCATTTACAGACAGATATCTCGATCACTTTCCATTCTTTCGCATTCTCATCATTCTCATTCTTCATCTTCTTCTTCTTCTTCTTCATTTTTCCTCTATCTTTTGTGTCTACCTCATTCTCAGTTTTCTGTCACTATCTTGAGAAGCAAACATCTCCATGAAAAACCTTTTGTTCCTTTTCAAACGATCCTTTCTTTTCCTTATCTCCTTTTTCATTCCTCATCATCATCATCACTTTAACTCTATTCTTATCTTTCTCTCTCTCTCTTTTACTCATCATATTTATGCCTTACTCACTCCCAGTCAGCTTTCATTTTCATTCCCAAAACGAAGCGACATCTTTTTGATGGAAATGAAAATAACTAGTCAGTAACATTCATGTCAACAATTGTTTTACTCCAATAAGCAAGAGATTACTAAATTGGAATTAATTTAATGAATTTATTTTGGTAAAATAATACAATCTGATAAAATTGAATGAAATGAAAAACTGAAAATGAAAAGTTTCCATTTTAACCAGAAGAGAAGAAAAATGAAACAAAAAGATAAAAAGCAGAGACAAAAATTGAATACAATGACAAGGAATAATGAAATTTCACGTTTAATCAAAAATTTTGATGAACATCTTTCCAGAGTAACTAATAGCCAAGGTTATCTAAGCAAAAAAGGTGAAACTATGCGAAAAATGATGACTTTAATACAAGTTCATACTTTTTATACAATTTCAATAACATTTTCAGCTGAATCTGCATTCATCCATTCCAATCTAATATTTAAAAATAATAATTTAGTTTCATTGCTTCAATCGAATACAAAAAAAAGATTGAAGTCAGAATGAAAATCAACTTTGCTTAACATCGCATTTTCTCGATTTTTGACTCAACATCGAAAAGGTTCAGCAAAACTTGGCACTTCGACGGTTCGGTGC